GCGGTGCGGCGGCAGCTGGCTACGTACATTACACCGAACGACTTGTTACACTCAATCTTTGCATATCTAATTGCAGGAGTTGTTTAAAGCTTTCTAGTGATGATGCCCCAACTGTGCTTTGTAGCAACGAGTTCCACTCTAGGATAGTTCTTGGAACATACAAGTTTTTGAATACCTCAATTCTTGGTTGATAACTCTGGTACTTGAAGGCATGACTGTTCCTACATCCTGTTGCCAAATGTAGTGTTACCAATGGTTCCACCCAATCTTTCGAAAAAGTCCTTAACCAATGATATGGTTTGTTACTTCTGTTGTCTCCTAGATGATGGTGAGCTGTTATTGGCCAGCTGCGGGCAGGACCACTTTATCAGAGTATGGAAGATTTCATTACAGTGTGGGGAGGAACATGTTACGGAGGATGAAATCAGGGTCAAGAAGAAGTCATTTACCATCCAACATGGAGGTACTGTGCATTCTAACAGTCATCTTTAAAATCCCACTTCTGAAATAAAACAACTAAGATTTAAGATAGTTTTTAGCCTTCATACACTGTATTGTTATTGCTTTCAACATATCCTTTTCAATGACGTGTACTATTTCTGTGAATGATGAGACAGCCAATGAAAAAATGCCCTAACATCTGTTGAAAGGGTGAAACTTGTAGCTACATGTACTAATTTCTTTCTTTTTTTTTAACAGACAAAAGCCAAAGTTATGCTGTAGTACTGGAGGCAGTGCTTGCAGGCCATGAGAACTGGGTGTATGGAGTACACTGGCAACCAACAGTCTTCAATGGTAAGATGGGTTTAAACATTCTGTTAGTAACTAGACTGGATACCAGGCTGTTTGCAGGGCCTGCTCAGGCCAGGCCAGCTCCTACATATTGTAACCTGTTTAGATATATAGCTATAGAGCTGAAGAGATGACCTTTATAGCCCAGGAAACTGGCATCCAGGCTAGCATTTTGTTCATAAAGCTAAAAGTTTTTTTACTCCTGACGTCAGGAATCGACCCCCACACCAAACCCAGGCAGCTAGCTTACAACACCAGCGCTGTTACAATCCAATGATTTTTCAAGGTTGTGCTTTAGAAATGGGTCCTTCGTCTGTTCATTAGCCTGGCTCCCAGACCTATTTTAGCTCCTGCAAATAGAAGAGAGGATAAAGACTCTGGAGCTAAGATAGGTCTGATTTTCTGTTCATGTCCTATCTGCCCTCTCTGTTTCAGACGGTACTCGACACCAGCCCCTGTGCCTGCTGTCAGCCTCCATGGACAAGACCATGATCTTGTGGAAACCAGATCCCAGCTCAGGGATCTGGCTGGATCAGGTCTGGATCACCCCTGCTTTCCCAGATTCCTTCCAGATTTTTGTTACCCTGGTGTCCAGCCTTGTTAGCTTTAGTCCGCTCCCCAAGATCTGGGAGTGGACTAAAGCTAACAAGGCTGGACACCAGGCTAGATTTTTGTATGACATGTACAAGACCTTAGCTTTAATGTGTAATGATCATGAGGTCATACAAGAAATTCAGTGGAAGTTTATCTCTGTAAAGAACAGCATGTAAGTGTTCTGTGCAAAAAAAATCAGGCTCAAAAACCACAGGATATTGACATTTTTCTTTGACGTATTTATGAGAAATTCTATATGCAGAAAATACCAGAAAGTTAAACAATTTTGAGAATATCT